CCCCAAAACCCCAAAACCCCAAAACCCCTTTTAAATGAATTAGTGTTGAACTTATGAAGTTTCAATTAAATTAATAACCTGAATAACTAATACTGGGCTGTTAATTTTACTCCAAGCTTCCTCTCAGGAGATCGTTTGAAGCTTCCTAAAGCTTGTGAAGGTAATTCTACCTTGTTGGTCTTCTTTTGCATACTCATTCTTAAAAGCTTGTTAGAGATTGTAGTCCCATTGCTGCTTTGCCTATTGTCTCTTCTCAATTTCCCCTTTTTAATATTTCCAATTTTGACAAATGTATCTTTGAGAATAAAGAGATCGGGATTCCTATTATCTGAGTTCTTATTGGTAGAGTTATCTCTCCTTATCCTTTAGGTATTAGCCATTATTCTTACTGCAGTAATTTTCCTTTCCGATAAGATTGCTCTCTTCTCTCGATTGAAGGTAGTTCAGTGTATGAATTTTTCTTTTTCAAAACTATTTATATGTTAAACACCACTTTCAAAGTAAAAATTCGAATTGATCAGAGATCTCATCAATTAAAGCTTACTTTTATTTATAGAGAAGTTCATCGACAGTTTTTCCCCTCCCTTTTGAGCTGAATTGAATGCTTTCTCTATGATCTTATTTCCTCATTGATATATCTCCAACCCTTTCAGAGAACTTAATCTTGTTTGTCATTGACCTGGAGTATTTGTTTTTAGAATAATCGTGCTTTTCGTCCACATCTTTGTAAACTGCGCATGGGCCAGAATCCATTGCTGATGACTCAGCAATTGTAGACATCTGGTGGAACATTCTAGATTCATTATGGACTCTTCTTCGAGACTATATGGTTTTATGTAAGTCTTACCTTCTTCTGCATCCTGGTGATGATGTTCTTGAAGTCGATAGGAGATTCAATAGATGTTTGAGCAAACTCCCGAAGAGTCTTAATGTTGTATTCATTGTATTCTAATGAATGTCTCAGTAAAAATGTTTCTAATATCTTGTTATCATCTACTTCTCTTTTAAAGAGGCAGTACTCCATTCCGACCAAATAATTATTCTCATTCTGGCTTTCTTTAAATTTCGAAATTAATTCAGATTTTTGTGTCTTTCCTCCTCTTTTCCTCTTTTTCCTGGCAGACATGTAACTCTCACAGTTAATCTTGAACTGCATTGGATGGATAATAGACTGTGGTGAGTTCTTCATCCTTATCTTAATCTTTGAGCCTTTATTAGAGCCATTGGGTTTCTTGTTATTCTATAATTTTTTAATGCAAAAGTACCTTTCTTTGAGATTTCAATGGGGAAAGTATTTTAGAAACCTTACGCTTACTCTTGGTGCGCATATTCCTTGAAATAGTTCTCCTTGATTTTAGCCTCTCACCCAAAAATTGAACAGTATCTTCTTCTTGGTCTATACAGAAATGTTATTAGGTTGAACCAATAAGAAAAGATGTCATACCTGGACAAGTAGGGTAAACTACTGACTTGATTTGCTCAGCTATTTCATCATTAAGAAAGTTGCTTGTGAGGCGAGACAATGGAGATTCCTCTATTTCTTCAATTTCCTTAATCAACCATGGATGTGAGACGATTTCTTTGATAGAATATCTCTGGAATTTATTCTTTGTTAACATATTTGAAATCAAATGCTTAACAGAACAAGACAACTTCATTTCTTCTCTTGATTCGTATTTCAGATCTAGATTTAAAATTTGTTCTCTAATGTCTGAATTGCTCACATCGCTCCTGAATGGGAATTTCTTGAGCAAAATTATGTATAGAATGACACCAAGAGCCCATATGTCAATTTTAGGATCAGATTTTATATCTGATTCATCGATGATTTCAGGAGGACAATAATGCAAAGTTCCAGCAGTAGAGGCATCTGTCTTATTTAAAGATCATATTCCAGCGATTCCAAAATCTATTACTCGTAGACTTAGAGGGTCATTGGAATCTGTGAGCAAGATGTTCTCCATCTTTAAGTCTCTGTGAATGATCCCACGTGTGTGGCAATAATGTACCGCATCTAAGATTTTCATGAATATTTTCTTAGCTAGCTCTTCATTAATTTGATGATCATTAACATACTTTCCCAACTCTCCTCCTTGAATATATTCAGTAAACAGTACCATATCAGTATTTATAAAGAATGCAGTCTCAAGTCGGATGATTACCTCATGATCCAGAGAGATTAAGGAAGTTGATTCCTTCACTGCTTTCTCGATTTCATTAGCTTTCCTAAGATGTTCAGAAACGTCCATAAATTTAGCTGCAACTCTTTCACCACTCAAAGAGTGCTCAAGAAGATAAACTGATCCGAAGCCCCCTTCACCTAGCTTCTCAACACTTTTATAAAGTGCAAGCATCGATTTAAAACAAAATTCTCCTGTGGTTCTGACATAGATAATATCATTATCAGTAAGGAAGAAGAAATCATCAGCTGTCATCTCATTACCATTTTTATTATAAAGATTAACATCTCCTTGTAAACCTAATTCCTCTTGAATAATAGTCTGAAGGGTTTCAAAGCCATCATTGTTGGATGGGAGTCAAGCCTCTGTGTAGTTCAAGTAACCTGAGCTATTCTCAATGATAAACAACTTCTTCTATATCTCTGAATGAGTTTAGTACAAATTAATTAGAGATTGATTAACCAGAAATTAACAATTACCCCTCTATCAAAACAGCTGATCTTAAGGCTGCCTAAGCCATCTTGGTAATCCATTGTGAAATAAAATAATAATTTCTATATACTGAATCAATGTATTCTCAATAGTAAGGGGTTTTGGGGTTTTGGGGTTTTGGGGTTTTGGGG